CAACCTTGAGCAAGATGCTGTTGACTGAAGTATTTCCCTTTCATTATATTTGGTATTTAAAGGTCACCCATTATGCAAAATGCACTTTTTCATGTATTTTATACATAAACATGTGTCCCCTCTGTGAAGAGATTCTGAAAGTTTCAGGAACAAAGATTCTCTCTCTTTTTGTCCTGATCCATTTATATAAAAACCTGTCTGAAAATGAGCTGATCAGATTTTGGCCACTTTATGATGTCATAACGATTGTTTGGCTTGTGTAACCATTAGCCAATCAGCAACCAAGGTAACCCCCCCCCCCACCTTAGCACCTGCATCTCCTCCTAGAGCACCACTGTGTTCTTTTTAACCAAATATCTCTCAGAGGGGCGTGGGGAGGGGCTCCTTATTTTCATCTAAAGTAACAGAGAATCAGCACTTTTGGAACAGGGCTGAAACAGGGGTTTATGGGATGCTACAATGATCTGTTTGGTATTTGGAGCCAAACACTTCAGAGACATGTTTGTATATATCTGAGACCTATAATATATTGATGAAAAACAGTATAATGGGGGACCTTTAAAGTAAGTACAGTAGGCCTACTTGAGTCATGGCCATATTATGAGACAATGGGACCCCTGGGCACAGATGTGCTAAGGGCCCCACCTTCTCTCTTACATAGGAGTAAGACACAGACTTCACAGTTTCTTTAAAGTGTGTTTCTTGTGCTCTTTGTATTCGTTTTGAGTATCTTTGTGATCATTTTTGATTCTCTTCCTGGTTCAGTAACATTGATCGTGGCTCTAGTCCTGTAAAGAACAGCTCTGCATCCTCACCAAGTGATGCTGTGGTCTCCATCCTTAAAGCATGACATCATGCAGAAAGGCTCTGTGTGTGTGGAGGGGGCTGAGGGGGCGTTCAAAACTGCAAATAACAGTCTGTTACTGCACGGCTGTTGTTGCAAAGGGCGTGGGCATTGTCTGTTATTCTTTTTTCATGGATTCTCCGGGTATAAAGGATGTATGCTTTGCATCGCAGCTGTGTGTGAGCATCGACACCTGCAGGAAAACGATGAATTACGGATGAAGAAACACCATCGGCTTTCATTCACCCTGATGAACGTTAGAGTCGCGAACGCACCCCTTGCGATACTGTATACTTCCGTCAAGATGCCATAAGATAAATAGACCCTTATCTATTATTATCTACATCTCAACTAGGCTGTTAACTTAGCTTTTGCGAGCTTCTTATGGCTTCTGGGTACATTTAGGAGAATATTGAGGTATTCACAGCCGGTTGAAGTCAGAAATGGCAGTGAGCACAACGGAGCCGCTCTGTCAGCCGTGCGGTTATCATGAAGCTTTCAGAGGTAAGTCCCAGCATCACACACTCCTTTTATTCCAGGTTTCAGCAGTGTTATGTTGTCATATTACTTGTGTTGTCTTTGCATCTTGAAAGAGTGCAGGGTCTGTCTCATTTCAACACACTGACCACTCCCCTAAAGTCCTTATCTCCATCCTCCCTGGGACCTGTAGGACAGTGACACACACATTAATAGATGGTGGGGGTGCGGTGCCCCCTGGGAATTTGTGTGTGTTGAGAAAACAGTAAAGGAAAAAGGGAGGAGATGTCAGACAGACTTGTGATTTATCTGCTGTGTGGTCAGTGGAGCTACAGGTGAAGAGGCCCCTGATGCCGGTCCATCTGAGTCCAGAGCAGGTGGGCCTGGAGATGCTGTGTCTCTGCGGGCAGCTGGACCTCCTCGTCAGGGCTCAGATGCAGCAGGTACATCACTGGAGAATACATGCATTGTTTCCACACAGCTGATACATTTTACATGTAAATCCTCTGCTTTCTCAATAGTTTTATCAGTTTTTGACTAATTGTCAAGTAAAAGTCAAGCATCTGAAGCTGAAAGGAAGTTGTGCTGTGCTTTACCTTCAATGCATTTTCAATTATTGTTTATTTTTTTGTGATTCTTGTTTCTTTGTATTTCCTTGTATTCCCTTTGTCTGTATTGTACGTTATGTCCCCTCTGAATGCCAGATTGCTCATCTCAAGGGGTGTATCTTAATGAATAACCCAACAACCAATGCACAACACATACTGTAGCCATTACACCTGTATCTGTTTACATATGTGTCATGTCCTGGTGAGTCTATCCCATTTACAATCTCTGAAATATATGACAGCATTCAAACACAGCATTTGACTTGACGTCATTGCTAGCTTTAGCATGATTATGTACCAACACATAAAGATTTACAAACTATTTAAAGTCTATTGTGAAGTCTTCCCTACTGTTCATTATGCATTTCAAAACATCCTGTTTAGAAAAATTCTCAGTTTTGTCTGTGACATTATTTTTCATATTATATCACAGTTCCAGGAGCAGTTAGGACAAGGCTGCAGTCCAGAGGAGTCAGACACTTTCCAGGCTCAAGGATCAGAGATTCTTGACCAGATGCTGCAGTGCCTTGAACATCTACCAAAGCCTATGCCACAGCTGGAGGTATCATCTGATTCACATTGTCAATATAAACAGGTCGTTTTTGGCATGACTTGAAATTATTTAAGTCACATTATTCCATTATAATGTTATGAGAATGCAATTCAACGTAACTGTGAAATGCTGTACCAGAAATCAGGATGTTCTTCTGTTTCATCAGGACTACCTGGACATGGTGGGTCTGTCAGTGATGTTCCCTCGTGTTGAGGTGTTTCTCATTCAAGGCAGCCCAGTGGACATGCTGGAGAGGCCTCCGATGGACGGTAAGAGAAGGAAGAAGATAAGAGATAAGAGATAAGATGGTACTTTATTGATCCCAATTTGGGAAATTGTTTTTTTTTAGAAGCTGATTATACATAGAATTTCATATTTTTCACAGTGGTATTACTATTTTTTAAGTAACTAACTTTTTCGCCATCGCTGGTTGTATCAAGGTGAAAATGTATGTTCTCTCCTCACTTTTATGTTCACATTGCAGTTGAAACGATAACAATGATTCGTCCCCATTACACCTGTATTTGTAAACCATATATTTTGCCAACGTGAGCCTTTGTTTCTTTTATAGAATACTTCTTCCACATCGCCAAACTGAACCAGCTCCTAGTGCTGAGTCAACAGCTGGAGGAAGATATCAGACACCTTGGAAGTCATAAATACATTGCCCACCAGCTCTCGGTTATATATGTATGTAGAATAAATCTTTTATTTTTCCATAGCTTTTCCTGTTATGCATTCCACTAAAAGTGTTGTACTATTTGTTGTTGTTCTTTTGCAGCTAGTCCTCAGCTCTTTCAGAGGAATTCAGGCTTTCTCTGAAATAAAGAAAGACATTGAGGCGAACTTCAAACAGATGAAACAGTCTCTGTTGGTGGAGGAAGGCTCGCGGCACGAACCTCAGCTGGCTGCGCACTACATCAACTGGTGAGTCAAATCCAAGATGCAATATTTAAGACTTTATTGCCATATTCACAACAGCTACAGTGCCGCTGTAAATGCAAATCCACAGTCGAAAGTTTCTTCAACAATGCAATATTCTACTTAAGCCTTTAGAAGTCGTACAAGTTAACTATATACATGTAAAACAGAAATAAATAAAACAATAGAAATACTGTTTATATTATAATAAATAAATATGAGAACTATATGACTCAGGGACGGTTTTATCCCACAGCCAATATAATACAATGTTCAACTCTACACTTGTTATTCCACATCTCCATATATTATTACAGTATTTATTCTACTGTATTTCACATTCTGTTTAATCTTATTTTATTTTATATGTATTTGTTGTTCTTACGCCTGCAACTTACCTGCACCAGTATGTTACATGTATTTTGGATGTTGCACTGTTGGAATAGCCTATGACAAAGATTTTAATTGCCTAAAGTATGTTGTAGCTATTGTGCACATGACAAATTAAGCATTTGAACTCATCATATGTAAGTGATGACACTTCACAGAGCAATGCAGCAACTTTCTAATAACAACCATATTCTGTTCTCTGTGTAGGATATTAGAACTTACTCAAAGTTTAACATCGTTGGTGTTGACGCTACCGGAGGAGCTGACAGAAGACCTTCACCAGGCCGTGACCTTCGTGTCCCAGTTCCTGTCCTGACTCCCCTGAACGATGCCTCTGTTTCTGTGAATCCTGACGTTGTGATGCTACAGATCTCTCCAGGAGCTTCTGAATGAACTGATGTTGTTATGACTGTGAAAAGGTGCTAAACTGATTCATGTGGGATTGGATAGCCTACTTCATTTACAAATCATATAGGTTTTTTTTAATCGTTCTCTTGAATGTGATCCATTTTAGTCACTATGATGAGTCAGTTGTTTGAAAATGAATGTAAGCTTGTTGAATCCCTTCTTGCACTACTGTTACAATTACTTCTTTTTTTTTAACCTAAAGTGGAATAATAAAATGTAATGCAATAGGGGGATGTGTTTGCATGTATTTCATTGGTTAGTTTTTCTGGTCTGCTTTTTTTGTGTAGTTTCTAATGTAATTATTTTGAGTTAAATATTGAAAAAGATGTTATTTCTTTTTGTACCTTTCCTGACAAACATTTCTTGTTTTCTTTCAATATATATAATGTAGTTTTAAATGTGTGCCAAACAATAGTAACAATAATTGTTATTTTTAGGATTACCCTTCACTTATTTTTAAGTAAATGGCGCCTCCTGCTGTTCAATTCTTTCAAACAATATTAAATCAGGAAATACCAGACAGTTCCGTTCTGAATTAACAATAACAAGTCTGATAAAGTTACAGTAACATTATGTTTCCACTCGAATAACAGCAGAAATTAAACAAAAAGGGCCTTTCTCTATTTTTTGTAAATAATGACTCCTGTCTGCAGATTACCTCATGTCTGATGCGTGCTACAGATGTTTACAGTGCTGAGGTATGTAGAAAACCAAACCTCCAGGGGAGGGACTAAAGTCTGACTGACACGTCAGAACAACCAACTACATACGTTCAATTTTATTTTCCAGCCAATCAGAATGCTGTTAGGCTGTTCGACAACTTGACTGTGAGAGCTTGGTGGAAATAAGGACGATATTCTTGGTGGAAAATGTTTGAAATGTTTTAATATGACATCTTTTGAATTTTAAATACTATCAAGGAAGGGCGAATCAATGTGAAGAGGGTAAGTTTGAAAAACTGAGGATATGCGACCGACCTGTCTGTGTGTTTATCCGTCACTCACCTCTGTTACAATGTACACACAACAGGGCTACTTCAGTAAATCATAACTTATGTTTTAGTTTTCAAATGAAATATGTGTAATGTAGCAGGGTCGCAGGATGGCAGACTGTGTTTTGAAGTTGTCTATGAAGACCTCAAGGGGCTCAAAGCAGCTTCTCTGCCGTAGTGTCTTTCAGCAACTCTTTTAAATCCCCTGTGAGCTCCTCCCTGTGGAGACGGGCATGCAATGTATATTTTCGTCATGCATACATTATAGACACCCTGCAACCCCTCCAAATGTTAATAATTGACCAGAGATATATAAGTATGGCAACCTTCTGTTTATATACAGGTAAAGGTTTCGTATTGATAACGTTTCCATGATTTGGGTTGAGAAAACTGTCTGAAATATCTTCTGTCTGTACGCTACTTCATCACCACTGTATTTCCAGATTGAGAGTCACACACCTGAACTCTGTGTAAAGATCTGAGAAGGAGATGATACCAGAGCCCACAGCTTCAGCTGCAACCAGGGCCTCAAAGCAGAGGTAAGAGGTTTTGTGTATCCTCTAAAGTGGGGGAATAACATTTCCTCTTCTTCAAATTGTAATTCAAGTATAACAAATATAACCAAACACTTTTTTCAGAATTAAAATATGGAGCCTTCAAGGTCCACAAAGATGATAACTTTTATATTTTTTTGTTTTCTCCACTAGCAATGATTTGTAAGCATTTAGTTATTAGTGTTTCATAGTATGTGGGGCATTTCAAACATAAAAAGTCATTATATTTAATAAGTTGATCATGTTTCAGGAAAATCAAAGTAGCTATAGCAAATACATAAGTATAAACAAGAATTAGATTTTCTATTCAAGTCATTAGAAATGAATGTTTTGACTTCCCAGGAAGAACTCTCATGATGAGGCGAACTCCTCCGCAGCTGTCAATCAATCAGAGGATGAGTCGGGGAATGAGAACAGACAAAAGAGTGCGGTAGGTGTTTCTCTGTTCATCATTAAACAAGCAGGGTCTAAGGTCTGATAGCAACTGTTCAGCAGACGAATAATGGTAGAAGAGCAGTATGACAATATGAGGAAAGCTATCACACAGTGAGAAGGCTCATTAGTGCCCAGCTGGAGGAGTGAACCGCCTGGAGTCTGACTGACTCTTGAATTTGGATCTTGACTCTTCAAAGAACAGTGCTTACACAGAGGAGTTTGTCATTCAGATATTTGCATTTGGCTTGTTTATAATAACTCATATGATTACTTTCTTATCAGTGCTTTTTTTTTTACCCGCAGAGACGGAGAAAAAGAGCACACACAGGCTCAGAGAATGTCAAGCGCAAACGTGCTAAAGCCAGTGGCAGCAGCAGAACAGGAGGCAGCGAACACGTGGAGGCCGTCACCCTGTTCCAGGTGCTCACCATGGGCCGGAGCGCCATGCAGGTGAGACCAGCTCACTCTCACATAGAACATTCGCTTCTGCTCTAGACTGTCTTATTTTAATCTTATTGTGTTAGTAATATCACATTTTCTTCTCCCTGCTCCTTTCCATCATGCGCTACAAACACTGTGTACAGTGTACATGTTTTGTTTTATAATAATTGGGATGTTTGGAATAAACTAATACATTTAAAGGTATTAAACACTATTTATCTCAGATGTAATGCAAGAAACATGCACAAAAACATTAGTACTATGTCTGTTTACTTTCTTTCTTTATTTATAAAGCTCTTTTTACCTATACAACTTCAATATACAAAACATATGTGTTATTTGTTATGCTTCCTGTCTTGGCTGGGAATTACTTTACTCATGGTAAAATACAAATACAAATGTTTTGGTTCACCTTTGATCTATAATAAAGACTTATTGTTGGTTTCAGCAGAGTTTTTTTCAAAAATAACTAAAAAGAATGAACTTACCCGAATTATTAAAAGACTTGAATATACTAATTATACAAATCAATAAACAGTAGAAACACAATCTGCCTCTTGTGTTGTCTGAGCAGACGGTGATTGATGATTGGATCGAGGCTTACCAGAAGGACAGAGACACTTCCCTCCTCGATCTCTCATCAGCTTCTTCATCCAATGCTCGGGATGCAAAGGCAAGCAGACACACACACACACACTAGGGATGTGCATCTCCATCACTGAGGCCGATGCGATGCGCATCTCGATACGTTGCCACGATACGATACATTAACGATACATTTGAAACACCAGGCGATGCGATACGATACGATTCACCCCTGTTGCGATACAGTTCGATACGATTTGATTCAACATTATGCGATTCGGTGCGATACGATGCGATTCAACACGATGCAAAAATAATGATACTTCAATTTGGTACGACAGAGGATTTTTGTTTTATTCCTTATATGCAGCAAATCATACATTAACAAAAAAGTGCTTTACATATTTGGTACTGCACATCCCATCATGCCGTTTATTTTTTTACCTTTAAAAGCTCTCCAGAGTACAATTGTATAACACCTCACAGTTAAACAATGTAAGGATGCATTGCTCATGATTAACAATGTGCAAATAACAGCTACCATAGAGCAATGCCCATACAGCTGCCAGCCTGATGTGCTTAACACTCATTCATAGGCTAACTCACCAGTGAGCAGAAAGCGGTGGGTTCTATATGAACAATAAATAATACAAATAACCTTTCACAAACAGGTATTTCATAACTGCTTACAGTGAGGAATACATTTAAATTATTATTGGCCGTCACAGGCTGCTGTAAACTAAACACCACTCTCTCTGACAGAACACCTCACTGAGTGATTTAACTCATATGTCTAACTTTGAGGTTTCTCTTTTCAGCCGCAGACCCCATGTCGACTCTTTATGTGCGTCGCTAAGTTCCTCGTACTACTTGTGTACTTTAAATCGGCTCGGCATCGTTAACAATTTGCGAGCGATTTTTCAAGTTGACCGCGCACATATACCATCAGGACGTTACCATCAGGACGTTACTGATGGGGTGCGGCTGCGGAGTGATACTGTGTGTATGCAAGCCCGCATCTAGGACGGATCTATGTATCATGGCTGTAGACCTGTTAAGTAATAAAGATACCTCATACAAAGGTCTACGGATACCTTATTACTCTCCATGACCTGCGGTCAACTATATAGCCTAGCATAAAGGACTATTACACCGTCTTTCTTGAACAATCCGAAGTGTTGCCAAACGTTTGATTTGTAGGTATTTTTCGGTGCGCTGTGTTTCTCTTTCTCCTCGACTTCCGTGTGTGTTGATAACTGAGACTCTCGGCCTTCGTAGTGGCGAAGATATCAAAGATCGTATCTGCTGAGCGTTGACAAGATTAGGGGATTTTATATGAATGAATCGGTTTTTTACCGATGCAAAGACGCTACGCAATCGATGCATCGCGAGTTCAACCCGGTTCAACCCAAACTGTAGCCGATGTGCACTCTTTCAATCGGTGCACTCGCATCTTGAACGTTTATGCCGGTGCACCGATGCGAATCGGTGAATCTTAACATCTCTAACACACACACACACACACACACACACACACACACACACACACACACACACACACACACACACACACACACACACACACACACACACACACACACACACACACCCACACACACACACACACACACACACACACACACACACGTAAAAGGTCTTCCATCTGTGTTTCCTCCTGTGTTTTCATCAGTTTCAACCCCTTGATCTGAAACAGTCTGCCTGTATGTGCGGCGTGCGCTTCAGGTTTCTGGTCTGCAGTACAAGAAGTTTCTGGCCTTCCCGTGGATCCTCACAGTCACATGGCCCCTGGACGCAGTCAGTAGAACCTCCTGCTTTATGGATTTGTCTGCTCTGACCTTTCTGTATCATAGCGTCTCATTCATTATTTAATCGCCCCACTGTTTCTTCAATCAGTTTTATAACAGTGATCAACATGTCACCTAATTGGATTCCCTATATTAAATACAATCATATTTGAAATAACGTACACATCACCCTAACTACAGAAGCTCTAAGAGGCAGGTGAGGATTTTATTTGTGGTGATCCATCCAATAGTTTTCTCTCCTGTCTTTAGGTTAACAGTAATACTGCTTAAGACTTCCGTATTTTAGTCTCTTTTGTACCCGTTTTTATCCGATCTGTTTCTTTATTTTAAACACCTTTTGCGCTGAAAGAACACAATTCCTCTCCCCTGCTCAGTACTCTGTGAGTATCTTCTCCAACCTGATGAACTAAATCATTTCTGCCCTTCACGGTCTTTACTCTCTTTTATGTCCCTCCCTCCTCTCTCTTTAGGATAATGTGGAGTATCCTCTGATACAGTTTGGACCGGAGGGCCGCTGGTTCTCCTCTGAGTTCTGCGACTTTTTGTCGGTGCTGGTTTCTCAGTGTCAGCACAGCGTCATTTTTGACAGCTACCTGATGAACACCCTCATCTCACTGCTCACAGAGCTGTCAGACTCTTTAGTACGGGCTTTCAAACACACCTGCACACTAGCAGGTGATGAAATAGAAAACATACACACACAAACAGATACATAAATTCATTCAATAAACTAATATGTGCTTCTTGGTTTGGATGTCCCTGATAAGCCGTGAAGCTGCTGAGCTCTCTGGTTGCCGTGGCTATGAGCCTGAGCGTCTGCATTGAAAACAGTCAGAAACTGTACGAGGTGCAGGAGAGGAAGACAAGGCAGAGAAGCAACGTGCAACAGGAGAGAATAGAGAAGAAAGTCACAGAGGTAAGACACTTTTTATCTAGTTGAGGATGTTATATTTGCTCTATAAGTAATGTCTGCCTCACTGTGTGCCTCCTCAAGCTGCAGGGGAAGAGGGCGGAGATAGAGAGCATGATGGACATCCTCTTTAAAGGAGTTTTTTTGAAAAGATATCGGTAAGTGTTTCTCTGTGACATGGTTGGTTTCAGCGTGGTTTCAATGTGCCTTATCTTATTGAGCACGTGTGTCTGTGCAGCGACGTGCTTCCAGAAATCCGCTCTATCTGTATGGCGGAGTTGGGTTTGTGGATGCAGCTCTACAGTTCTGCTTTTCTCAACGATAGCTACCTCAAATACATGGGCTTGATGATGCACGACAAGTTAAACAACAGGAAACATATGATGTGTTATGATGTGATCAGAAGATATAACAGAGATACTTTTGGGAATAATAGATTTTTGACTGTCTGTTGTCTTTGCTATGAAACCAGTAATCACAGCAAGTTGTCACAGCATTACTCAAGTCTCTGTTAGTACATTTTTTAAAACTGTCTCTGCTCTGACATTGGCCTCATGTTTCAGATTCCAGATGTGCGTCTCAAGTGTGTTTTAGGTCTGCAGGGTTTATATGTAGATCCTCAGCTCCTCCCTAAACTGGACCTGTTCACCAGCCGCTTCAAGGTAAACTATTCTGCTTAAAGTTGCGTTAAGGGATTGTGGTAACCAAGGCAGAAACAAATATTTTAATTAATATTTGTATATGTGTGTACACTCATGCAAGATTGTCATTGTTTGTGTTTCAGGACCGGTTGATCTCCATGACTCTGGATAAAGACAACGAGGTGGCAGTGCAGACCATGAAGCTGCTGCTCCTCATCTCCAGGTGAGTTTGTTGTTCGATCATCTTTAAAGTTTTCCTACTGTTTTTATTTGCATCAAACTACTCCTGTCTCCTCAGAACATCAGATGATGCTCTCAGTCCAGAGGACTACCAGCAGCTGCTGGGGTGGCCTCCAGCGCCACAGCCCGGGACGCCAGAGACTCTGTGGTGCAGAGCTGGGTGGATCAGCTGACAAAGCTGCTGGGGTGCTCGCTGAAGGTGAGGGGGCCTGTCACACTGCAGGGACAAAGAGATGGTGATGAATGGATTGAGACTTAAAGGTCCCATGTCATGGCCATTTCCACTGATCATAATTCCATTGTTGAGGTCTACTAGAATAGATTTATACTGTGCAATTTTCCAAACTCACATTGGTTTCGCATACAGCATCTCTGTAAAGTATGTGTATTCAGCAGTATTCACTCTCTCCACTAAACGGCTCGTTGCAGCTCTTGACCCCCCCCCTCCCTGTGAGCACAGTGTGCTCCGATTGGTCGGGACCAGTCGGGACGTTGTGAATCGCGCTGAGCTCCGTGGAGGTGTGATTTCCTTGTTTAGCGATACACAGCGAAACACAGCCAAACTCACCCTGAGCACACACAAAGTCACAGCCGAAGTAAAAACAATAAGTGTGGCTTGATATTGAGTAAGAAAAAGGTTGATAAACGCTGTGAGAATGGGTCTGCAGTGAGAATGGGTCTGCTGTGAGAATGGGTCTGCAGAGAGAATTTCGCCGCGATCCCAACTGTCTGTTATCAGCCTGCAGCCAGGGAGGAGAAATCAGCAGAGCTGCCTGCACTGAGTGTGTGTGTGAGGAAGTCCGTGGATTGGTCAATTTGGACCAATCAGCGGGGGCTTAACGTAACGGCTTCGCGGACGTAACGTAACGGATCCACGGATTGGTCCATTTCGTTCCGGGTACGGATGACATCATGCGTACCCAGAAGAATCAAATGGACAATGACGTATCTCCAACGAGGCGTTTTGGGGAGGTATTTTCTGTGTTAGAGTTTTACTCGCTACAGGGTGTACTTTGAGGGTTTTGACTCTGCACACCGTTTACATGCATAAAAACCTTCATAACACACAAGGGGACGGGTAATAACCGGAAAATCGTTTGAAGAACAGTACATTTCAGGAACCCCTTATGGGGTCCGAAGAAAGTTTAATGTTGTGGGGTCACCAGATACAAATACTTCACAATTTTTCCTCTATTCTTTGCTTTTTGGTAGAGATTATTGCACATTTGTACCTCTTCAAGCCATATTATAGTAGACATAACTATGTTTTTTATTCTAAAAGGTGCCAAACAGGTTGTATGCTTATAATTAAATGCCTTACTTGACACGATTACTTATTATTTCCTATTCCTCGGTTGTAGGGTGACAGTTTCTCCGCTGATGAGAGAAAACTGGAGACATTTTAGCCACACTGAAGAAACTCAGAGCTTTCCACAAGTAAGGTTTGAGAGCAGTTTGAGCTGACAGTATTTTGCCAGTGGTGTGTATTTATTTGCTGTTCATTCTGTGTTTCTCTGTGTTTTTTAAGCTGTCACAACCTCCTCAGGTGGAACCTGTTTGAGCTGTTTGAGCTCTCCTCTCCTGTCAGTAGAGAGCAGTGAGGGAGGAGCACCGCCTGAGGTACCAGCTCTGCTTCTTTAAAGTCAAGTCTGTACAAGTGTTATGGATTGATTTATCCACAATCTGTCTTGTGTCTCTTTCTCTCTTCTTTATATGTCTGAAGGTGCTGCTAGAGGTACTGCAGTGTCTCTCTTCCTGCATGATCTGGTCCCTCAGCACCAGTACCGACACATTAACATCTGCTGCACTCGGGCTGACGTTTTAACTAGTGCAATATTAATGAATTTAGAACTAGCACAATAAGAAATGTGGATGCAGAAATAGTTGACTGACTGTTCAGCAACTGTATTTGATGAACATGAATCAGTTTGGTCATCTTTAAAGCTACAAATGTACTACTAAAATAAAAACGTTGGGTTTTAGACTGTTGTTGCAACAGAAAAATACATTTTAAGATGTCATCTCAGGCTCTAATTGCTGAAATTCTACCATCCACACAATTAACAGATCAATGAATACAATATTCAGTAGATAGTGAAACAAAATGATACAGAGACTTGATGAAAAGATATAATGTGTGTTAGTATGTTAAGCAATAGAAAGAGCTTTTAAGTAGGACTGTATTTCTAGAGATGCCCATATCAAATGACAATTTTTTCTTTGAACTAAATGCACATATTTGAAGGCAAATTCTGCCCTTTTGTCATCAATATGTCTTGTTTTTAAGCCCTGTGTGTGTGTGCCAGTACATAAAAAAAGATCCGTAAATATGGTCTTGTGAAATCTGTAGGCAAGATAATGTGACGTGTTTGAATCTGTGTGTGTGTGTGTGTGTGCGTGGGTGTGTCTCAGGAGAAGGCCGTGGCCCAGAGGCTCCAGCTGCGTCTCTTCTGTGAGCGAGGTCACCACTGTCTCTCCCACTCTGACCCCAGGGTGCAGCAGCAGGTAAACTGATGTTTTAAAAATCATGGCACATTTTACTTTTATTTTCAACTTTCCAACGTCCTCTCTATTTTCCATGTCAGGCCTTCCTGGGAGTCTGTGACGTTCTGACGGCTCACTCCTTCCAGCTGCAGGTGTGGGACCCCAGCTGCTTCGGGCCTCTGCTCTACACCCCCAGTCCCAAACTGCAGAGGGCGCTCTCCACCTTCGTGTGTATGCACGTCTTCACTGGACCAGATTGTGAGAGCCAGAGCGGGGGTGAGACAACTACATGATCACATGAAGTGTTTATTTTACATCCTTTAACCTTTGTGCAAATGTGTTATGCTCTTTATTGCTGAAACTAGATGTTTCATCGTCACTGTGCAGGATGATTATGTGCTGAGGCTGTTTCTCAAATGAATCAGCTTAACTGTGTTCCTCTGTACTCACCTAAAGTTAATTTCAAGACTTGTACGAACAATCATAAATATCTGCATATTAATAGAACCAAATACAATTCAACAAAGCTCATTAGGCTCTTTTTCTGTGGATAAACGAATAATTTGACCTTTTTTAAAGCATTGAACAGTTATTAAAATAAAACGATGTGAAAAGTTTAGAGGTTTACACATCTGAAAAGTAACACACACTATTTGTGTTAAGGGCCACAAAAGTTTTGGAAACAACTGGTTTCATTTCAACAATATATCATTTTTTTGAAAAGTAAAATACCAATCTGATGTAGTGAAGAAAAATATACAATATTTCCCTCTGAAATCTAGTAGAGTAGAAGATAAGTAGCATAAGATGAAAATCCTCACGGCTAAAACAAGCTTTAGACACGCTCTGTTATGCAGTTAGGAGTCACAAATCCTGCAGGTCCGACTCCACACATCCAAACAGCTGCCTTCCTATAGGTGTGTGTGTGTGATGCACCCAGGAGTGTGTGACCCCCAGCAGAAACACAGTGCAGAGTTTACTCAGCAGATGGCACTCTCACTCTGTGGACCTCAGCCTCCTTCCCTCTGAAGCTGTGATTCAGTGTAGCTGTTCTCTGGGTACAGACATGCAGATCTGAAATGCACGGCCACACATCAGGCCTGATAGCTGCCTGCTGAGCTGCCTGCTGACTGTAAAGTTAATCTGGGTCTGATTGTACCACCTGACCTAACAAGTGACCCTCAATTACAAAGGAAACCCTGTTAATATCCTCACTTTGAAACTGGCTCTACTAATTTGTAGTAAAGGATGTTATACTTTGTTTTCAAAGCCATGCTGCTTGTAAATTGATGACAGCAGTGTGTTCCCGTCTGATCTGAAATGAATCAAACAAGATTGACATGTTGGAAATACGTAATGTTTTCTTTGTAAAGTCCTGCAGGTGAAACCTATAAATCCATTGATGGCTGACTGTCACTAAAACATTTTATTATCTTTACAATAGCTTTACTTTCCGAGACATATTGCATCCAAATGTGGGATCGTCCAGAGAAGTCAATAGCGGTCCTGGTGGGAATCTCTTAAATGTTAAACAAATACAATACAGGATTATTGTTTTTCGAACATGTAATAAAAAGCTATTGTTTTATTGGATTTGCCTGGTAAGGGTTTTATTATATAGGCAGTGTTTTCTATTAGCTGCTGGATCAGAGATCACTCGGAGGGTAAGGGCCCCGAGTTAAATCATAAAATCAGGGCAATCTCTTTCCGTGAGAAAATTCCATTAACTCTGGCTCACCTCTGAGCCTATTTTATTAGCCTTGTGAAAGATTGAAGCCACATGGTGTCACAACCATAACTCTAGTCTTATGTTATCTTTGATTTCCACCTGCTAAAGCCATTGTCCTCAAACTTACTAAAACACTCTGCTTTGTTCTCTTAGTTTCTGTTATATGATTTGTCATGATTAATCACTCTCTTCCCCTTCTCTCACCCTCGACCACTTCACATCCAACCGCACGCTTCATCTCCATCTGGCTTCCTCAGTCAGTGGGAACTCTGAGGAGAGGCTGGAGGAGCTACACAAACGTAGAAATATGCTGGCAGCCTTCTGCAAACTCATAGTGCATAGAGTTCTGGAGATGAGCATGGCAGCTGAGGTCTTCATTTACTACATGAAGGTAAAGCTTAAAAAGATGGACATTTTGGAAAAAAGGTTAATCAGCTTTCCTGCCAAAAGTTAGATTGATACCCCTCTCATGTCTGTAATAATATGAAGCTATACCCAACCGTTGGCTAGCTTAGCATAATGACTGGAAAGAGCTAGTCTGGCTCACTCCAAAGGTGATCAAAACCCACATCTGTTCGTATGTGATCATTTTAAGATTGGGGTAGACTGGGTAGTCACCCAAGATCTTAAAATGATCAAGAAGAAATAAGCCGTCATAAAACAGCAACTTGTGTTTTTAACACTGTAGTTTTGAATATATTATACAAACAACATACTCAATTTTAATTACAGGCTTTAGAAGTGCAGGAAGATACATTTTATTACCTTCCAGCAGGTTAACTGTTTCCCAAGTTAAGCTAAGCAGCTTTTGGCTGTATTAAAATGTACAGTCTGGCATCATCAGGTTTTGATCTAATAATTAAACTCTTGGCACAATAAAAATAAATAAAACCCTTCCTTTAATACAAGTATGTGCTACATAGCTAACTTCTCCCTGTTTGTTCCAGTACTTCAACGAGTTTGGAGACATCATCAAGGAGACGATGTGCCGGACCAGACAGATGGATAAGATAGAGAGCGCTCGCACTCTGGTGCTCTGCTTGCAGCATGTAGAGTAAAGACGTGAAACATACAGGCTTACAAACATGCTTTTAAAAGTGGCTTCCTGTAAGTTTTGTTCCTGTCTGTGCAGGTTCTCCTACCTGCAGAAGCACACAGCAGAGAAGGTTATTGACTAAACTAAAACTAGAAGGTGCCAGAACTAATCGTCAAATCAAGCACATAAGTGTTGTGTTCTTAAAGGTCACCTATTATGCAAAATCCACTTTTTCATGTCTTTTATACATCAACATGTGTCCCCTCTGTGTAAAGAGACTCTGAAAGTTTCAGGAAAAAAGATTCGCTCACTTTTTGTCCTGATCCATTTATATAAAAACCTGTCTGAATCAGATTTTGGCCACTTTATGATGTCATAACGATTGTTTGGCTTGTGTAACGTAAAAGACAGAGAATCAGCACTTTTGAAACAGGGCTGAAACAGAGGGGACTATGGGATGCTGCAATGATCTGTTTAGTATGTCAAGCCAAACACTTCAGAGACATGTTTGTATATATCTGAGACCTATAATATATTGATGAGAAACAGTATACTAGGGGACCTTTTAATGCAGCCAGCTACATCATGTTTTTTTCTTATTCCTCAAGGATGCAAGTCCCCCTGCCCGTTGAGCCCGTCTGACTCCAAAGTAGCTAAAAGTTAGAAAGTCCCGCTTCAGTCCAAGGTGAATTGATTATGTCTAAACCAGTGACACATTAGATTTCCTCCACCATGCTCATACTTATAACTGTGACCTCCTGTAACTCCTCAGCCATCAGGAAAAGACAGCAGACACGGATCCCTTTTCCATCCCAGTGGAGCCTCCTGCAAAGAGATCCAACTTCCAGGGAACTGTCCTCAGCATCCTCAACGAGGCGGACGACGACACTGTGGAAGTTGAACTGTAACAGTTAGTTTGTTGGAGGATGAGACCTGACCTCACACATTTCAAGGGGGCTTTCCTTTTTTCTGTCTCTGTAATTATGTGAGGAAATACCGGCAACCCATCCCCCTCTACAGTCCTATTAATACAGGTTTGTTTAAACACAGTACAATATGTTCAATATAAGGACACGTCTGCTACATCCAGATTGTTTTTTGTATCAACAAATCCCACGAAAACACTTCAGCCAATAGGAATGTATTAATTGTGCAGAGAGAAGCTGATATATTCTATTATTGTGCCATAAATCCACATTTTGCTGGAAACACTGATTGGAGCAACACATATGTATTTATCCACAGCAGACAAATGCACTTTCCCTGCTGATTTAGTTATATTTCGTCCCTACTGACCGCCAGAGGCGGTGCTTTAGCACTGGATATGTCCATCGCGCGCATGCGCCGCTCGAGTACCAATAACAACAAAGTCACCTGTGACCCACGTGTCACCGGCTATATCAGCCGGTGTCGTCAGAGGATCTGTTCCTTTCATCTTCTCGCTGCGCGAGCGTACCTTGGCTACATTTTTGTAGCCTACAGCGTTCGTTCGGTTGGAACATTTGTCAAGGATTCTCTGCAAACAGCTGGCTGCGTGCAGCTTCGCGACTCATCCAGTCGGGGCCGCGAGCTTACCCGTCCTCCAGGAGCTGTGGCTGGCTGCGCAGAGACTTCGTTCGGACAGGTTGGTGTCGGCTTGGTTGGTGATGGCAGTGTTTCCGCTCCCTCTCCCAGCCTAGTTGTCCTGATTACTGTCTGTTTGCTTTTGGGCTTGAACTTTTTTGGTGACGGAGGTGTTTCCGCTCCCTCTCCCAGGAGTTGCCCTTGCTGTGCTGTTGTACTTGTTCTGGCTGCGGCGTTGTGCCAACATTCATTAGCATTGAGCTGTGTTTCTTGTTTGGCTAGTTAGCAGTAGCGGCTGCAGCCACTCGGCTGACGCCGGGTTAAGCACCGGAGTTTCCCGTGCTGTTTTTTCTTTAGAAGCCAGTTTCTGGTCTTAGCTTTGTGTTAAAGCTTCTTGATTTTACCCAGCTAGGTACCGCTCCCTCTGCCGGTAACGTGGGTGTAGCTACATCCCTTTTTCTGTTCGGCGAGTAGCAGCACCGCTCTACTCTTTCCGTTCAGCAGGTAGCTGGTGAAGGCTGTGTTCCCGCACCCGCTCCCGGTTACGCTGCATCTGGCATTCGTCTTTAATTTAACCAGTGTAGGCAGTGTTCTCGCCCCCGCTCCTGGTAGACGCTAAACTGCCTTGTTTATTCCGTTAAGCAGGTAGCTGGAGAAGGCTGTGTTCCCGCACCCGCTCCCGGTTACGCTGCATCTGGCATTCGTCTTTAATTTAACCAGTGAAGGCAGTGTTCTCGCCCCCGCTCCTGGTAGACGCTAAACTGCCTTGTTTATTCCGTTAAGCAGGTAGCTGGTGAAGGCTGTGTTCCCGCACCCGCTCCCGGTTACGCTGCATCTGGCATTCGTCTTAATTTAACCAGTGAAGGCAGTGTTCTCGCCCCCGCTCCTGGTAGACGCTAAACTGCCTGGGTTCCGTTAAGCAGGTAGCTGGTGAAGGCTGTGTTCCCGCACCCGCTCCCGGTTACGCTGCATCTGGCACTCGCCTCTAGCTCAACCAGTGAAGGCAGTGTTCTCGCCCCCGCTCCTGGTAAACTGCCTTAGTTATTAATCCAGCTAGGTGAAGGCAGTGCTCTCGCTCCCGCTCCCTCTGCCGGTAACGTGGGTGTAATTACATCTCTCTTTCTGTTTGGCGAGTAGCGGCGCGGCTCTACTCTTTCCGTTAAGCAGGTAGCGGGTGAAGGCTGTGTTCCCGCACCCGCTCCCGGCTACTCTGCATCTGGCTACCTACAGAATGGCTCATTCATGTAGCGCCTGTATGGCTTCTCTTGAGCCCGAGGACGGCCACGACCGCTGCCCCTCTTGCCTCGGCCTCGAGCATCTAAGGGAGGCTCTCACGGTAGGTGCCTGCATGAACTGTAGCTGCATGCCCCGGGCACTCAGAGTGGCTAGAATCACTGAGGTGGAATGTCTGGCTGCAGCCAACGGACACCTCTCTTGGTCACATCCTCCTCCAGATCAGTTCGGCCGTCCCCGGCGACTTGAGGGAGCGATGGCCATGGGTGCACCCCCCCCAATAGGAGGACTAGAAACAGGCTGTCCTCTAAAGTGGATCAGCTAGCTACCGACATGGACACGATAAAGTCGCTCCTCTTGGCCCTTCAGCCAGGGCCCGGTATGGGCTGCTAGTGTGCCGCCTGCCCCTCCTTCGGTTGCCGCCCCTCCTTCGGTTGCCGCACCTCTGTATGAGGATGCCTTGTCGCTAGCGGCTTCGGCTAACCTCTTCAATGAAGAGACGGAGGACGAGGTCCCGCTCGAGGAGGCTTCCCTCTCCTCTGCTCAGGGGTCTCTGCAGGGCGTGGAGGATGACTCCATGGCGGCCATTATTCGTACGGCCCTGGCGTACCTGCAGATTCCGGTTCCGCAGGCCGACTTGGTTCAGGCTAGTGCCTTCTTCAGGCGTAGCCCAGCCCCTGTCCCCCTCACCGTTCCTCCTTCAGAGGAGTACCTGAGGGAGCTCCAGGCATGCTGGAGGGACACCAGGGCCCTCTGCCGCACTGGCTCTGATGCCCGGACCTTGGCTGCCATGCAGGACCCGACGAGGAAGGGGCTGGGTGGCATGCCACCCATTGAGCCTGCCATCGCCTCCCTGATTCTGGCTCCTGACGAGGCTCTAAGGCAGTGATCACCAACTGGCGGCCCGCGGGCCACATCCGGCCCACCAGACATTCTCATCCGGCCCGCACGGGGGTGACTGTGGCGTTGGCGGAGTGGTTACTGCGTTCGCCTCCCATCCATTTTTTTTTTTACAACGTCTCGTGAGTAAGGTGCAGTACCGGAGTCCAACAGAGAGGCAGCAGCTGCGGGTCAGTAGACTGCGTACTGCGAAACCTTCCCTGCCTTGAACAAGAATTGATCCTTCGTTGTGAAGAGTCTGGTTAATGCGGTCCGCACCACAGCAGTAGCCCCGCTGCGACAGAGTCCAACAGAGAGGCAGGAGCTGCGGGACAGTAGCCTAGAAGCAGGGTTGGGTTGTAACGGAATACATGTAACGGCGTTACGTAATCAGAATACAAAAATCAAGTAGGCTAACTGTATTCAGCTGGCGTTACATTTGAAAAACTAGTAATCTGATTACAGTTACTTTAGTAAACCTGAAGTGAATACATTTTGGAATACTTTTTGGAATTATTGGTGGAAAAGTTTCCTCATAAAATGTAATATTCATTACCGGCAGAACTGTGCACACTGCACGGCGCTGCATGTCTGTGAGCGAGAGAGAGATGTAAAGTGTCTGTGAGGCCCCGCCCCCGCACGCAGATGAGAGAGAGAGATCTCTTTTAAACTATATTGAAAGTTAGAAACGGAGATGGTTCGATAAAATGTGCAAGATAACGTTTATGTAGCATTTCTTTATTGTCAAGATGATGACATTTATAACGGGATCAAATCAAAGTGAATGGCCTGCTGCTGCTGAATGCATGGGGCAAGTGACTGGAAAAAGTTTTAAAAGTTATTACATCGTTTCAGATAATACATAATAATGATAATTCATTCTATTTAGGGGCGCCTTTCAAAGCACCCAAGGACACCTTACAATTCATAACATATTCCAAGGAAAGGTTTTAAGACAGTACAAAGAATGCAGTCTGGGTGATGTTTTTTATGTGGGGTGCAGATGAGAGGGAGCTGTCCAGAATGACACGAAGATGTTGTGTTTGAGTTCTTGATAAGCCATTAAAACAGTAAAATACGTGTCTCCTGTTCACCAAAACATACCCATCTGTTATGGAAAAAAAAAGTAATCCAAAAGTATTCTAAAAGTAATCTGAATACATTTTTAAGACACGTAACTGTAACTGTATTCTGATTACTTTCAGAGCATGTATTCAGTAACTGATTACATTTACAAAGTAACCCTCCCAACCCTGCCTAGAAGTGATCCTTCGTTAGCGTGAAGAGTCTGCTAAGCTTTATGCGGTCCACAGTACCTGAGCGTGCTCCACTAGCACCCCCCCCCCCACTTCAAAATTCTGGGCTATATAAAAATCGCTGGCCAGCGATAGTGTCTATTGGATACATTTTGGCCCTTGGACAAAAGTAGTTGGTGATCCCTGCTCTAAGGTCTGAGGTCAGGTGCCCTCGGCCTCAGTGCAGGGTCACAGGGCTGCTCTGTAGGGCCTACGACGCAGCGGCACGCATGGGTCGTATCGGGAACTCCCTCTCCCATCTAATGCTGGCCGTCTCCACCTCGCTGCAGCAGGCCCCGGCCGAGCCTTCTTTGCTGGGCCTCAGTGATGCATCACTGCAGGCCTTTGCCCTAATGACTAGGGAATTGGGACGAGTTATGTCCTTTCTGGTACAGACTCGTCGCCAGGTTTGGCTGGCCCAGTCACCACTAACGGAGACATGTAGGAGAGTTCTCCGTAGCGTGCCAGTCGAGCCAGGGTAGCTGTTTGGGTCAGCTGCCCTGGAGGCGCTGGAGCGCGCTGCCCAAGCTAGGCAGACCAGACAGCAGCTCTCGGGTCTTCGCAGACCCGTGGCCACTCCCAGCAGGCCCAGGGGCCGCTCTAGCAGCCGCACTCAGCCACCGGCTTACAGGGGTGGTCTGCAGAGGTCCCAGCGGCCTACTCAACCGGCCAATGACTTTCGTGCCCCAGGTCGCCTGGCCTTCGGCCGGGTCAGAATGACAGTCGTCAACGACTCGGCGAAGGCCTTAGCTCTGGCCCAAGAGTTGTCTGTCCTCTTGGCCAAGGGCGCAATCGAGCCAGTGGACCCCCTGCTTCAGGGCCTGGGGGGTTCTACTCGGCGTACTTTCTTGTGAGCAAGAAAGTTGGCGGATTCCGTCCAGTTCTGGACCTCAGAGGAATCAACAGATTCCTGAAGGTACTGCCCTTCCATATGCTAACCACAGCAGACACCCTTCGTGTTGTCGCACAGGGGGAGTGGTTCACAACCGTGGACTTGAGGGACGCCTAGGGCTGCACGGTATTGAAAAAAACTGACATCGTGGTTTTTTCCCCCCCTGCGGTATATATTGCGGTTTTTTTAACCTGTTAAACCCCAAAGTCCCGGCGGGTACTTTACTTTTTTTTTTCACGAGTGTCTCAGGGGATCGTAATATTTAAGAACCTATTAATGTGTTATACCAGATTAACGGAAATAATCTCAGCTAACTAACGATACAAACCATTTTATACCCAAACAAAACACAAGTCTCATAAGAAGCATCTAAATGACCCCTGAGCGAAAAATGCTAACGCACTTTGGCACAGAACTCAAGATAAAAGTACTCTTATTATTACTTATCGTAGCTGCATTTACAAGATATCCGATTAAAGCTGAGGTTCCACAGATTATTTAGGTATATAGTATCATCACTGAGTGATCTGAACTCGGACAGGGGAAGCAAACACAGACATCACAACACGTACCTTTACGTAGCTTCGAGGGGAGATGTCTCACCGTAGCTGTCAATCTGATCAAAAGACGTGTTCAATGGCATTAAAACGAGAAAGAAAAAACGCGGCTGAATCGGTTAATCCATAGGTTTTTAACGTCTCTGTATAAAACAATTATTTAATTTATAATCCATAATTCCATTTTTATGTAAATATCGCAGAGCAAAAGTTAGCTGCTAATGGTAGCCACCAGAGTGGCTGCTGCTTCCGGTCTTGGCAATGCGGAAGTCTCTCACACACACATTACAAAATAAGGACTGTGTGATTTCCCCTCGATTCCATTGGCTCTGACGGTCAGAAAGAGATGTCACATGTCAAAATCCAGCAAGGTGGGCCAGAGATATGGAAAATCCACCCAAATGGCCCCAAAAGAGGGTTTTTTTGGTGCTAAATCTGACTAAAAAGGTCAAATATCAGGGGAAGTTCTACACACACCAACACATGAACAAATAAGGAGTGAGAGTGACGACGCGTAGCCAAAACCGGAAGCTGCATACCACCAAGGTGGCTACCATTAGCAGCTAACGTTTGTGATCCGATTTGTACATACAAATGGAATTATGGATTATAAACAATTGCTTCAAAGCCACAGATACATT